AACAAAAGAAAACCCTTGCCCCAAGAGAAATAGGCTGAAAATTTTGAAAGCTGAAATCCAATTTAATTCTCTTAGATTTCTATTGGCTACTCACTTGCTGTGTTCATATCAGTACAGTTTGTTTTCATTTAAACTATCCCAAGTTTTATTTTTAAAGCTTTTCTCGTCTGCCTTTCTTTCACAAACACAGTAAACTGAAGAATATAAAGACTGTTTTTATTAACCTCTTGCATACATTCCAGATGATTTCACCTCCCAATGATCTCATTCTGATTTCTTTTCTGATCTTCACTTTCCTTTTGGACCCTTTCCTTTCCAGAAACAGAGAATGCCAAATTCCTTCTGACCAAAGTGACCATCTACTTCTGGCCGGACCCAAATGGACCACTGATCGGCTGCTGCCCTGTAACCACCACTTCCCTCCACTCCCAGTGCCCTCCCTGTTTCCCAACCCAGCCACCCACTACCACTCGCCCAAGACAGCAGGTCTCAAAAAGAGATGGCTTAGTCAGAGTTCACCGTGGCAACAAGGACAGGAAACTCTTCTTTGACAGGTACTGCAAAGGAGTCTTACGGAAAGTGGGGTTTCCAGCAGCCGTCTATGGAAGTAGCTTCAGGCTTTTCTCCTGAATTCAGCCACAGCAAGGGACCCTCAATCACAATTCCCTCACACAACTCAATCATTTCCCTTCTCAGCTAGCCTCTCCAAGCTGCCCCAACAGTTCTTACTGCCCAGGGTGGAGGGATATTTCTACCCATCCTTTATCAGTGTTTCTAAACTTCAAGCTCACTTAAAAATCGCAGCATCAAACAAAAATAGCTCAGGAATTAGCAATGTCCCTAAAATGCAATATATTCAATAGCAACTAAAGTTAATTTTCAAGGTTTTAAGAATTTTTGTTTTAGTTTTGGTATGGTTTTAAAAAACAACCTATTTTTAAAACTCTCTTCCCAGGCTGGTGTTACCGTCTAAAACGGCCAGGCCTGTATTCAACCAAACCAACTGGCTTGGAAAAAAAACATCTCCAGGGATTTCTAAATACAAACAGAGAGTTGTTTAGGCATCAGGATGAGCTGGCACAATCTGTCTAGTCCTTCCTTTCAGGTTTCCTAGCATGCAAGTAAACCCCGGAGGGAGAGAAAAAGTTCCTTCTGGCTCACTCTGTAGTTCATACTTGACCCATATTTTATGCTACTTCAAGCAGAAATCTGCTGAGAAGCTCGCAAAAAATACATGAAAAGCTCTTTAGGGACAATTTCACCACCCTTGATAGAAATGACTACAGATGTGCACACAGCCTCCTCTGCAGAGACTGCTTACTGCTGCACTCGACTTGTGCAGTGAGAAGGTTTTATTTCCTTAGTTGGTGGCAGCTTAATTATCAGCCTTCGGAAAAGAGGATCAAGTAGGTAAGCAAGTCTAAATTGTATTCCGCCATCATTTCTAGCAACCTCTAATCACTGGTAAGGACTTGAGTGTAAACAGCAAATAAGCACATGACCATGGTTTTTAGTGAAATCAAGGAGAGCTGGATTTCAAAGGAGCCAATGTATTTAAAAAACAAAAGCTTAGGCACTGTTATAAGACCAGGGTTAGATTGCTGATTCTGACAATTCCCAGCCAAGTGTTCTTTATCAGTTATGCCACCCCCTGACTCTCCAACGGCTCACTCAGAAAACAGAAATGAGAATATCTGCAATGAATCCCTCATCCACTAGGCGTGATAAAATGAGAAAATGGGTGATGAAGCACTTTTTACATGAAGAACTACTGCAAATGTATGAGAATATTCATTTGCGCATGATTCAAAGAAAGAGAATTAAACATGTTTTGCTAAAAATTTTAAAACCAATATCTAAAAAAAAACTCAGACAAAATACCATATAGAAATACTTACATCAAGATAATTAAAAACAGAGTGAAATAAGGGAAGCATTTGACTACGGTGACATTTGTAATTATGGAATATTTGCAGTAAGAAAATGAAGTAAGAAATCAATTGAACTTATTTATTTGATGAAGAAAAGGCGAGAAGTGGAATTATAAGTACTCTTGGAAGGTACTAGTAAGGCTAACTAGAAAAGGAAAATTGTCCTTTGGTGATAATCTATAAACTGGCTTGAATAAATGTATATTTAGAATTATCTTTTAATATTTAAGCTGTTTCCTTAATTCCCTGCTAATTCAAGAAAATCACAGTTCATGTCTTTTGTATTGCCTCACAAATCTTCCACTGCTCCTAAATATCTGATTAGTTGGGACAAAAGCATATACAATTTTTAAGTTTTCTGAGAATAAAAAGAAATGCAGAAAGAAAAGTATGAGGCCTAATTTTAGTTTTGTGGAAGGTACAGAATAATAAAATCAAGTGTTTTAGGGCTGGAAGGGACTTAAGGACAGCTGACTTATTTTTTTTTAAACTTTCTTTGATATATGTTTTTGAATTACAATTAAATTTAAATTTGAATTACAATGATCATTTAATAATCACCCTGGTTTGATCCCTATCACTGTCAGTGAGTGGCATTCTTTCTTGGGGAAAATCTTACAAATGTTGAGGTCAAGTTAGGGATTGATATTAACTTGTTTTCCTTCCTAACAGAGCCATGGAATCAAGTCCAGGTGCCTGCCCAAACCAAGGCTTATCAGATTTGTCTTCCTCTATCCAGAAAGCTGAGCAGATTGTGAAGTTAATCAGACGTGGGAGAAAGGAAAAGTGGAAGCATTGACTAGAATAGCCCAACCCCATCATTTATTTACATGTTTATGTAAGCTCTGGTATGTTTATTTGGTAACAATTCCCCATCTATCTTATAATGTTTCTGACATGAAACTTTGTCCTGCAACCCAATATACTATCATTATAGCTCTCACTAGCAATGAAGCAGAAACTCTGAATTCTCTATTGCAAGGAATCAAATAAGAAAGCAAAAACTGACACACTCATTTTAAACTGTATCATATAACAATCGCTCAGAACCCAGCAGGTTATGAATGAAATATATATACTTTATTTATTACACAGGCACTTGTATATTCACATGCCCAACACAACTGATACACTTAACAACTATGGAAACAAATGGAAAATGTGTTTGTAGGATCAAGAGAGAACTTTTATCACGTAAAGGTGAATGAGTGCATTAACATTTTTCCTTTACTTTCCTCTAGGAATTTCCAAAATTCACTGAATTTTTTAAAAAAGTTACACTTAAAATAATATTCAACAAAAACTTATCTACATTCCAACTGGTATGCTAATTCAAATTGTGAGTGGTTTAAACTTTTATCACAATGCAACATATTTGTAGTCATGCTTGAACAGATTAGGTTAGTAGCATGCATTCCATTCTGCAATATGAATACTGTTAATCTATTTCCCAACAAAAGTCAAAAGATGCTCAGTGCATAGAAAAATACAAATCACTATAATCAATATATTATGAAACTGATCTTGGGACTTACACAGTGATGATGAAGTCCTGAAATGCCATGCCCACAAAAGCACATTAAAAAGTGGATAAACATACTTTATCAGACAATTTCTAAAAATTAAAAGATGAGGGCCTTAAATTTGGGGGATGTTCTCGCTGTGTACTTTGAACAGCGCCTTTCTGCTCACCTCCTTCTGGCTTGACTGGTCCATCAGACATCACCTTCCTGAGGGCTAGCTGGCTTTGGTCTTGGTTGCCATTGGCTGGTGGAGGCAGATTATCAGACTGAGTTCTTTGAATGGGGAAGACTCCTGCTATGCTGTGTCTGTGCTGCTTCCTGGCATGATTAGACTGACCGCTTTTATGTGCTGCTGTGGCAGTGTGGGTGAGATGGAAACCCAGAGTATGTATCCTCAGATGGAACCAGCTTGAATGTCATTCATGCAAACATAAGTGATGTTTTGCTCTACTGAAATTAAGTTGTGTTTTCAAATGCTGAAATGACATCACATGCGCAGCACTAAAGGGGGTTAAAACTGGCTGTTTCTTTGGAAATGATGATTTTGGGAGATGGGAACATTCATTTATCTCCGTTGTTCGGCTGATGCCTTTTGGAAGTAACTGTGCCCCAGCATTTTCAAAGTCTCTGTACTTACTAAGTTCTTGTATCACTGTTATCAACTGAAATTACAGCAGTTAAAATGGGTGATTTGTTATGCTTTAGTTGATATCTTGACTTCAAAGGATTTCCAATGGTTAAAGAAAGAATAACCCTATAAATTTTCTGGAATCATAAACAAAGTGTGACCCAACTGAATGGGCCCAACTGTGCTACTTAATGAGGCGACGACATAGTCTCATCACATATGCTTGTACATATATTAATACTATGTACTTTTGAGAATATAAGAAACATGATTTTCTTCACAGCTTTTTTTTCAAAAGTCTAGAAAGTTTCTCACACAGAAATCTTCATCATTTCACATGCACAATTTATTAAACTTTTTAAGATTGATATGTCTTTTCCATTTCTCCTAGGTCCTAGAAGTTGACTGTTGGTCACATTACTCTTCTGTCTAAAATTGTTTAGTGTTTTTCAGAGGCGAGAATCTCATTGCTAGTCTGCTCCAAACAGTTGTGTGTGTGTGCTTTTTTTTTGTTTGTTTTTGGTGTAATGCCTGGAAAATTGGCAGCCACTTGTGCTTATAATTTCTGTATTCTAAAGGCTATTTAGGCACACACAAAAAGGATACACAACATGGCTTTGCCTGCAAACATCACAGACACAGCTCCCAAATACAATGAGCCAGGTTGGACGGATGGTAGAGACAAAGGAGAAACAGCCAGTTTTATTTTTGGTCTATGTAAACTAAAAAGAAAAAAAAAAAAACTAAATAAGAAAGAGCATATTTATGTATTGATACTGTTCCTACACAGACAAGGGGACAGAGAACAGAGGGAGTAGGGAAAGCCAAACAGAAAGCAAATGCGGGAAGACAGCAGGAAGGAAAGGCAACAGATGAACATTAAGCTGCCATGCTGAGGAATTTATTTGCGTCTTTTACTTGGTTGAAGGCGGAGCTGTTGCACAGCAGCTTCGGCAGCGGCTATAGCAGCCCCTGCATCTTCCAGGTGGGTCTGAGTGACGCTGGTTTTGCTTTGACTGCGAGATGGTCCATGAGAGCGGAGATGGCCTTCGGATGAGGATTTCGAGCTACCGGGACTACTATGGGATTTCTCAATGGTGGGAACCTGCATGTCTGGTTACAAAAAGGTAAAACACGAGTTAAAGTTGCTCCAGCGTTCCTCTTGTCAAGCTTGGCTCACACAATTTGAAACCGTCTAAGACTGATGATAATTCTGTTTGGTTTTTGGCTCATTTGTGCAACTGCTCACCATATAGCAATGTGATTCACCATTTGGGAGACAGTTTTTGGGAAGAAAGATTAGAGGACGATAATCTTGAGAAGAGAGGTTTGAGAAGAGGAATGCATTTGAAGTAATCATGTAAATGAATATATTGACATAATTTTACCAAGGAACTCTGCTAATTCTAGTGGAGACCAGGGGAGAAACGACAGGCTGACACTGCCACAGGAGGAGTTTTAAGTAAAAAAGATAGTTAATTCCTGGAGGAAGGGGTGTGAGTCACTGGGATACTTGGAAGTGGAGATGGTATTATCATCATCTCAGGTGATTTTAAAGAATGTACATATAAGATCACACATTTACTATGGCAGCTATACAGAGAGAGAGGTCTTTATACTGATCATCTTTCAGAATGGCAATCAGGGCAGAGTTAATCTGGCTACATGGAATCCAGAAATGATATATAAAATTCATAAGTAATCTATAGCACATATTGTAATCAGTGGTTTATCATATTAACTCAGTGGCCTTTGGACATAATCTCAGTTTTCCATCTTGTAGAATATTTGTATTTCTGACCCAAATTGCAAAAAACCACTTTTCAATTATGCTGTACTTCCTGAAAGAGGCAAAAAAGGAAGGAATACTCAGATCCAATATAAAACTTTTTATTTAATATTTATAAATAGCTCAGCATATCCTGGAAAGATACTCCATGGTTATCTCATACAGGCAGTAAATCAGTTTATGATGAGGATTAATGCTGTGTTGTAGGATAACTGGTTACTGAGCCTCCCAATGGAAAAGTTCTTTCAAATGAGAAAACTGTGCATACTGCCAAACCCAGTGTATAATGCTGCAATTTAAAAAATAATAGTTAAAAAAATTATAGAATTAGTTTGAATCCACTATTTAGGAAAGATTTAAGTATTTTTCAGCATACCAATTGTTTTGATAACCTAAGGAAAACATTTTTGATATAATTAAAGTGCAAAATGCAAAGTTGTATGTGTCCATATATTACATTTATAATGAATAAGAATGTATGTATGAAAAATAGGGATATAAGCAATTAGAAGAAATATGTAAGAATTATAATGATGATTACATCTAGTCAATGTACTGTTGAGGATTTTCATGTTTTCTTTATGAAATATCCCAATACATTTTATAAAATCATATTATCTTGGATCTTGAGAGCTGGAAAAGACTCAATAGCTCATATAATGCAACCTTCTCCATTTTACAGATTCAAAAACAGAGAACCAGAGTGGTGAAGATCACAAAGGCATCGACTTAATTATGGGCTGATCTGAGACTAAAGTCCATTTCTCCAGATTCCATATCCATCACTCTTTGCATGATATTGTATTAAATATTTCCCAGTAGAACCCAACTTTTCAAAAAATATTAAATATACAGACACTTATATTCAGAAAGATCCTGAGTGAGCAAATAGACAAAAGTTTTGCTACTTGAAATATTTCCTACCCTTGGATGGGTCAGGGAAGATACCATGGCTTCTGCTTTTGATGACAGATGGCTTTGGGGACTGCTGGCTGCTCTGACTGGAATGGGACTTGCCATGATCAATGCTTTCAGTCTGTTCTTTGAGCGGATACCACCTAGGCGTGTTATCAAGGTGAGACGTGCTAGATAAATCAATCAGTACCTGAAAAAAAATGCAGTAACTGAATGAAATTTATGGATTAATCTATAATTCATTTGTTAATTTTTTCTGTGATCTGAAATTTATTCAAGGACATAAAAGGATATAGTGTCTTTTAGGATGATAAGGCTGTCTTCCTCGTTTTTCTTCATCCATAATATTGGGAACAATGTCTTGTGCATATTAAATTCTTCATAAATGTTTGGTTAAATTGAACTGTATTACATCTCTGACTATTAATTAAATTATTTGGAGATGATGCAAAAAGAGAGATTACAAGTCAATTTCTTTATGAAATAAAGTTTTCTTTTGTTAAATGGACACGTTCTAGTCCTAGACTTGGCTAGCAATTTTTTGAAGATTGTTTAATTTTAGTTACCAGAGGGACAAAATGAAAAGAATGGCTAATTTTAAATTATTAACTTATTCCATCTATTTTAAAATCTATCAGTTCACATTTGGAACAGGGATATGACCAACAATTTATGAAAAGAAAGCACTGCATCATGGTTTAATTGGCAATGTTTTCTTTTTCTTAGTGGCACATCAACAATGGTGCATTTTACAGTAGTTGGCATCTTAAATTTGATCAATATAAAAAAATGAAAACCAGCACAATGGATATATGCCTTAGGTTTATGTGAAAAATAAATTATCAGGACTTCAGTAAATCAGCTTTTTGAAATAGGATCATAAATCAGATATAACAGTACACTGTACAGTAGTCCTATCTAAAACCAAGATTAGTCCAAGTGGCTATTCCACGTGGAGCCTGCAGGTGAAATTCAAATGGGAAAGAGGTACAGATGTAGGAACGAAACAAGACTTTGTGTCACTTAAGACTATGCAACTGTTTTCTATTGTTTCTATCAAAAGGATATCATATTTTCTAGGTATTATATATTTTTGGAGAGGATTTATTTTTCAATGATAATTCATAACTTCTGCTTTAAGCAAAGATCACTAAACAAAAATATGTATTTTTATTTTCAAACATTATAGATGAAAAAAAAAAATCACAAGATCTGACCACCCTGCCAGATTTCATAATTAGGTTACATTCCTTGTGATTTACAAAAAATTTGTTTTTATTGTTTTCTTTTACTTCTAGTTTTGCTTCTTAAAATATTTTGAGATTTTTCTGTGAGACACTTAAAAAAATAAGAATATAAAATGTCACATCAAGTCTTTTATACATGGAATGAGGAATAGCAGTTAAATAACCTGAAAATGCATTTGAAAAAATTCAGCTCATTTTATAATAAATTTATCTCAAATCTTTAACATAGTCATTTGGATTCACAACATGATTATATAACTTTCTATCAAACAATTAATATTTCACCTTGAAAATTAATTATAAAGTACATTAAGTGATAAAGTGAAAAATTTCTCCAAATATTCATCTATTCAGAGTCAGTTTGAAAATAAATTCTATTGACCAAAGAATTTTATCCAGAAATAGTTATTTTATACATTTAAGAAATTTCCTTTCCATCAAGTTTTAAATAAAGGCTTATAATGAAGCAAATGAAACATAAAAGAAACCATGGGCTCACCTCACCAAGAAAGTCATTGGAAGAAAATCTATCATAATCCCAGACTGTCACCTCCAGTGTTTTCTTCTTGAGCTACAGTTCAAATCAAAATGTTATTAACCTCATTCTCATCATAAATTTTTATTATACTCATATAACAGAGCCTTTTATTTTTATTCCTGTACTCTGTCCATTTATGTAAAAATAGTTTTAATTTTATCTAAAACTGTACACTTACATTAAATATTATGTAAACTGTCAATCATTTTGTGGTCCAATCGAGTGTTTGATCATAAGGTACCTCACTGTTTTGCAAACAAAAGGGTGATTTTTACTTATTTCCTGTTATTCTGCCCCCTCCCATTATTAAAAGTACAAAGCAGAATCTATATATACTCTTTAACACATGAAATTCATAGGTCATAAAAAATGTCTAGGTTATTTAGATAAAGTATTTGGATTTTAGTTTGTTGTCTCAGTAAATTGCCAAAACACATTTGTAGCATTATCTTAATTTTGCAGGTGAATTTAACTTATTTTCAACTCAAGAACCCAGATTATAATTTATATCTGGCTTCAATTTCATGGTCAAATTAGAAATCTTCCTGAGGATAAATTAGAAATCTCACTTTGAAAGACAACTCATTTGTAAATTGCTTCCATGGATGTCTTTTTTCTATTTTATTTGTATTCTCTTCTCTCTTAATTCATCCTTATAAACCATCAGTTATTTTCTGTAAATCATGCATTGTTATGAAGATTTTCACAAATATATTTATGCAGTTTTGCCTAGAGTCATTCTGTTTCTGGTGGTAACCCTTTACATTAGTTTTCTTCATGCTTTCTTCTGTACAATTCAGTTCCACAATGCAAGATCTTTATTACGTCTCAATTTAGAGAAAAGACGATCCCCAAAATGTTGCCTGATGGGATAATTCATTTCAGTGTATCCAGTTCTTTTGTATCTCTATACTGTTTATAAATGTCATGATATGCCTAGCTGGAAATATTTTCCTTCAAAATATAATAGAGCCCAGTCTACTTAAATATTTCATTTTGAAATAATCAATGGAAAATGTTCTACCAATCTTATTTATTGTGTTTATTTTTTTGCTGTTTTGCCAAAATTTGCACATTTTCTTTCACCATGTCTTTGAACTGCACCCAGTTCCTTTTATGGCTACATTTCTAGAAATGTACTTTACCTGTTTTTTTGTTTGTTTTGTTTATATAGTAAAATTGATATAAATCACAATCTTTCAATAATTTTATCATCACTGTTTTTATATTAGCCTAAATCTGTCATATAGAAAATAATAGCTTGCATACCTGTTCCATGGAGATACTTTTATAAATCACTGTTTGATTCCACTCAGGATTAAGACTTTTCTGAACGTATTTAGTCCTTCTCTTGTACTCAGCACTGAATTAGAAGAAAAGAAAAAGTTATATTGATTATTCACCCTGACTGGTGACTTCATAGTCAACCTGAAGGGCATGCAGACTTTTAAAGGTACTTTGTTTTGAATCACTATGTAATCATCTCATCATACTGATGTCTTAAACCATATCTTAAGTTGAATGCACAATAACAATTTAAAAATATCTTGGAATACTTTAGTTTTATTTTCCCTAAGCTATTTTTTTTTTAAAGAAAAGCTTTTGGTGTTTTAACTGTAATACAATTTTAGAAATCTTAATCTCTCCTGAATGTGTGAGATAATTACATGAACTATACAGTAATGTCAATATATTCTTATCCCATAAATAATAATTTGGTATTTAACTTTCCAATAGTTTCGCAACTGATCATGTCAGCAAAGCCAAATGGTTTTTCAATTTTTTTCCATAAAATACTATAATAACTGTATTGACTGAGGAAAGGATGAAAAATGGCTGTTACTATAGCTGAGATCTCATGAATATTTGTTATCTTATATTTATAGTATATTCTGACACTTTTAGTAAAACAGTAATATAGTTATGAAACAATCCTAATTAAATATAAATTCTTGGTTTCTGTCAATACCTTGTTATAAATGATAAACCAAATCAAAACTTTTCTTTATTCATTATAACTTGGGCCATTTGAGTTTGTCCTTGACTCTTCCATGCCCTCTGGTCAACTGTTAGAAGCTTATATTTTACATGTTTAAGCATGAGTATTTTTAAAACTTATTTTAATTAAGTTTGATAAAACATCTATACTGAGCATCAATCAGTGGAGTTGGAATTACTGCTATTTGCTATGAGCCAATGGCACCCACACAGACCAAACCTTTCTCTAACATTCACTGGCTTTTCCATAATTTTTTGCCTGGAAAACAAACCTACTAGGTTGGTGCAAATGTAATTATGGCTTTGGACTATGAATTCTAAATAATTATTAGTAGGCTCAAACACTTCTTTATTAATCAAAATAGGAACCATTACAATCAACACACTTTTGCCACTGAGAAGTTTGTTTATTCCTGTAGCATAAAAATCCATGCTTCGGGATTTGATGAACTCTTGTGAAACATTTTCTCCCTCCTGATGGTTGTGGAAGCATTTCCCCTGCAAAAACTTGTCAAGATGCTTGAGAAGTGGTAGTCAGCTGGTGAGAGGTCGGGGGAATATGGAATATGAGGCAAAACTTTGTAGCTCAATTTGTTCAATTTTTGAAATGTTGGTTGTGCAACATGCTGTTGGGCATCGTTGCAGAGAATTGGGCCCTTTCTGTTGACCTATGTTGGCTGCAGGCATTGCAGCTTTTGGTGCACCTTATGGATTTGCTGAGCATACTTCTCAGATGTATTGGTTTTATTGGGGTTCAGAAAGGGGCAGTTGATCAGCAGCAGTCCACCAAACAGTGACCATGACCTTTGTTTGGTGCAAATTTGACTTTGGGAAGTGTTTTAGAGCTTCTTGGTCCAGTCACTAAGCTGGTCATTGACGACTGTCATATACAATCCACTTTTTGTTGCACACCACAATCCAATCAAGAAATGGTTCATTGTATAGAATAAGAGAAGATAACATTTCTATTTATAATATATGTGCTCCTGAAATGAGCACAAGAGAAGATGACACTTCAAAATGGTGATTTTTAAAATTTCTGGCCAGCTCATGAGGGACCCACTTATCAAGCTTTTTCATCTTTCCATTTTGCTTCAAATACTGAATGACCATAGAATGGTTGACCCTGAGATCTTTGGCAATTTCCTGTGTAGTAGTAAGAAGATTAGCTTTGATGATGCTCTCAATTGGTCAATGTCAACTTCTGATGGCTGGCCACTATGCTTATCTTCAAGGCTTTCGTCTCCTTGCAAAACTTCTTGAACCACCACTGTACCATATGTTCACTAGCAGTTCCTGGGCCAAATGCATTGGTGATTTCGTGAGTTGTCTTTGCTACTTTATGACCCATTTTGAACTCAAATAAGAAAATTTCTTGAATTTGCTTTTTGTCTAATATCATTTCCATGGTCTAAAATGAATATAGACAGCAAGTAATAAGTCATTAGCAAAAAACAATAAGTGAGAAATGTGCATTACAATGATGTATAACAATCACATTTATTTAGAATGTATTCCAACATCAGAAAGCAAATTTCAACAATACAAAAACTGCAATTACTTTTGCACCAACCTAATACTTGTCTGGGGTCCTCTCCTGTGCCTGGAATTCATAAATTGCCTTTCCCTGAAAGTAGTGGATCTTCACCCTAGATCTACAGTTCTATTCCCAACAATGGACAACAGACTAACTCTTGTTATATTAATGGCCTCAAGCCTTGCTAAATTCTGGAATACCTACTATTGTCCCCCAGACACTAGTTTATTCATTCTAGATAAAAATATTGAGAGTCAAGTTCCATTTCACCACTCACTTTTAGAGATACATCTACAGACAAATATCTTTTTTCTCCCTCTGGCTTTATTCTCTTTCTTATTGCATATAAAAGGGCAATAATCACTGGTTGCCTGTTAGAATCACTCCGGGATCTGTGTTCCAACTGTGGGGGATGGTGCAAACAGTATGTCCACATCTCCCTTCCCTTTACTCCTTATGAGAGTCTTATTTAATAGTCCTGGGGTGAGGCTTGAGCATCAGAATTTTTAAAATGACATGAGTAAATCTAAAGTGTTGTCAAGATTGAGAACCGACTAGTTAATGTCTCCAAAGACTTCACATTTCAGCCACTGTGAACTGAATTCACTTTAAGAAATGAAGCAGCACTGTTCTCATTTTTAACCAACCTATTTGAATGTACAAAAATAAGAACACGATGTGACAATTTTGTCATTCAGCATAAAGTGCAAAGAATTCTGGGGAAATGAATAGGCAATGATTCCAAGATAAAAGAACTTTCATAGACTGTGGACAGAAAGTATATATTTTTATGTATATGTTTTAGTTAAATCTGTCTAGTGAAGTTTACATACCCAAGTACTCAGAAAGTTCCACTTTGACTTATTCCAATTTTACTCTAGAGAACTCTCTCACATGTATCTAAAGAATTCTTCAAGAACATTCACTGCAATATTGTTTCTAATAGCATGTGGATAAGATAAGAAATACAGGCATTATAATATATTCATTCAATGAAATTGGGGCTTCCCTTGTAGGTCAGTTGGTAAAGAATCTGCCTACAATGCAGGAGACCTGGGTTCGATTCCCAGGTTGGGAAGATCCCCTGGAGAAGGAAATGGCAACCCACTTCAGTATTCTTGCCTGGAGAATCCCGTGGACAGAGGAGCCTGGCAGGCTACAGTCCAGGGGGTTGCAGGAGTCAGACATGACTTTTGAATGAAAACACCTTATATATCAAGGTGGATAAATACTAAAAAAAATCTTTAGCAAATAATTTTCAGAAGAAAACCTAGAGTAGGTTATCGAGATATAAATTGAAATCACATGAAATAATAGTGTAAATTACTTACGTCTACTTGTATATATGTATGACAAACATGTTAATACCATAAGACAGTGTGGGATTTATAGATGTTATACTCTATTTAGTGGTTATCTCAGATAAACAGGGGAATGGTTTCAGAGGGCTTCAGGGGTAGCTATAACATACTTTTTATTAAAAAAAAAAACAAACAAACAACTGAAGCCAGTATAGCAAAATACTGAGATTTGATAAAATTGGATATCAAGAAAATAAGTACTTGTGACAGTATTTTCTATAATATTCAGTAGGTTTAAAATATTTTATAACAAAAATTAAAAATTATTTTAGCAAATTACATCCTTTTATATTTTATGATTTTCCTTTTTAAATTCATGATGATATAAGAATGAGTATGATCACTTTTAAGTTAATAGTCAGCTTTGGTTGCTACTTTAGAATTCATGGCTATTTCTCTAATAGAATTTAAAAAAGCACATTGTAGTATAAGTTTTAAAGTTTCTGTTTTGGACTTAATTATCAAAGTGTGAGATCATGGGAGAAAATATACTAGGGATAAGATTCATAATGCAGTGAATAGTGGTAAAAATGTTATTTTTTTCAAATCCTGATAAACTGAAAGCATACAATTTTAAAATAAGATTGAAGATGGAAATTAATGTCAAATGCAAACTCATGTATTTTTACTAAAATTCTAGATATGCCAATATATATTTAAATAGCCAAAACTATTGAAATGTCTTCAAAAGATGTATTAGTCACCATTTTCCCTTTATTTATAAATATTAACAATTGTAATAACATTTCACATGTATATTTTAGTCATTCTTTCACCTATATCTAGCAAAATTATTGAGTGCCAACTTTGTGTCAGGAACTATGCTCTATAAAAATGTACAGCTGCAAAACTTTTAATTGTATTGACACACCATTATGTCATGAGAAGCACTTTATAAGAACTGAAGCTCAGAGGAATTAAGGCAAGCAGGTAAGGCTGCAGTTATTAATTCATAGGACAAAGCTTCAAACACAAGAATACTGATTTCTTGCTCTTGAACATGGATAATATGAACTCAGTTAATTAGGCCCACCATAAAATGTGACTAATCTATCACTTTTCTTAATTTTTCATTAGCTGAAGTGTCTAGTTTGTCTTATTTTAAAATTTAAAATTATATACCTCAAATTAAATATATATTTATACATATACAACATAAATTATTTACAGCATGTATATATATATATATACACACACATACTGAAAATCAGGACAGTTTTAGAGTTGCTTAGGAAAATAATGAATGGTGTGTTGTAAGAAAAGTGTTGTGGAACTAAGGATAATTAGTATAAGTACTAACTTCTGTTCAGATACAATCAGATATAACCCCAATTAGTTGGGAAAAAATTAGATGTTTAATTTACTAGATAATATAAGTTCGACTCTCCAGTCTGTATCCTTTGCCTTTAGGGTTAATGAAGGTAAACACACCTTACTCCTGACCTTGCCTCTACCAGCCCAGGTTGACTTGTGTAAATGCAAATGAAATCCTTTGCAATCTCTTCACACTTGAATTTCCTGACGTGCAGAGAAGGCCACAAAGGCCACGAAGCTCTGCCTTCATTTACCCTTGTCTTATGGCCACCCTGTACTGACTATATTGGGCAAGATGCCAATGGACTATGTTCTGAATTTACACAATTGGAAACTTCACATTTCTCAGCACTATATCAAAATCTGTGGATTTACAAGTTGAAGGTGGCCAGGTAAGCAGAATTCTTAAATGTGAGCAGAAATCCAAGTGGAGAAAAAGTGGAGCTCATTTTTCTTTCCTACCTTGTCTAATAAACACACTGCAGTCTCTCATGGGAAGGCTGAAATAATATTATCTTAGGATAAGTAAGTTATATCTAATAATCAGAGACTTTTAAAAATAAGTGAAAATAAAAAGCCAATTAATCAAGATGGGACATGGTGCTTATCAAAAAAGCTAAACCTTTATTTCCTTGAAGTTTTGACTGATTTCTTTTTTCTTTGATTTTTATTGTTATGGTCACTTTTTCATAAGTAGATATGATTTTAAGGCTGACAGGAAAGATACTTAAAATTCAGTTATTTTCTCCAAAACCAGCAGAATAAAACAGTTCTCTGAGTTTCTCTTTAATTAAAAAAAAAATTGAGAAAGAAGAATGGAATATAATGGCTTATTTATATTTAACCCTCATAGAATTATATAAAATATTGAAGGTCTTCATTTATTTGCTTTCTCTCAATTGGAAAAATACATATTTCTTTATTGAAAAATATATAATGACTCATATATATACATATACATACATAAATATACACATATACATACATAAATACACACACACACACACACACACACACACACATATAGTGAAGTGAAACTTGCTCAGTGGTGTCCGACTCTTTATCCCATGGACTATGGTGCTGCTCTTGCTAAGACGCTTTGGGTGTGTCTGACTCTGTGCGACCCCAAAGATGGCAGCCCAGCAGGCTCCGCCATCCCTTGGATTCTCCAGGCAAGAACACTGGAGTGGGTTGCCATTTCCTTCTCCAATGCATGAGAGTGAAAAGTGAAAGTGAAGTTGCTCAGTCATGTCTGACTCTTTGCGACCCCACGGACTGCAGCCCACCAGGCTCATCCGTCCATGGGATTTTCCAGGCAAGAGTGCTGGAGTGGGGTGCCATTGCCTTCTCCGCCTTGGACTATACAGTCCATGGAATTCTCCAGGCCATAATACTGGAGTGGGTACCCTTTCCCTTCTCCAGGGGATCTTCTCAACCCAGGTCTCCCGCATTGCAGGCAGATTCTTTACCAGCTGAGCCACAAGGGAAGCCCAAGAATACTGCAGTAGATAGCCTATCCCTTCTCCAGCAGATCTTTCTGACCCAGGAATTGAACCGGGATCTCCTGCATTGCAGGCAGATTCTTTACCAGCCAAGTTTTCTTCAAAATTATTCCTCTGAGGATATTGCCTTTAATTTAGAAAGAAGCACAGAACATGTCCCATTTTATAAGCTTTGTTTCTCTGTGTGAAAGAATGCATATATGGCTTGTCACTTGATTGTGCTCCTTGAGGTCTGAGACTGTGGCTGTATTCTCAATTCCAACCCCAGCAAAGAGTTTGGAATAGTTTCTGCTAAATAAATGTTTATTAAATGGATCCTTAAAACATGTTTGTACTTCTTTTTTTCTTTAAAATGTACTGAAATACATTAAGTTTTGGCCTTCAAATTGTAAATATATACAACATGTATACCTGTGTTACATTCGTTACAGAGGAAATGGTTTGAGGTGCTAACAAGGGTGTTTAGAGAAAGTCCAGCCAGGAACTGGGCTTCCAGGTACCAGAATAGAGAAAATAAGCTTCAATTATAGCAAAATCTCATTAGTGGGAAAAAAATTTCTGCACTTTGTCTAGCAGTGTAAGGAAAGAAAAGCAGAATGAAATCCTTCAGATATGCTCATTTTCATTTCTTAATTATCTAGGGACAAGTATTGAGTTAATGGACTCTTTAGTCTATTGTCTTTCTTTCACCTCATCTTGGCTGATATCTGGGCTATGAGAGCTTATAAACATCTTGATCAAAGGATGGGAAGAGGAAATAAAAGGGGACAAGAAAACCAGACCAGTGAAATTAAATTAAAAATTTTTAAAGCATTTAGGATGTATTATACTTATTACTGAAGAAAAGTTGCTTGATTTTCTATATAGTGTTGTTAAATAATTTAGTATAATTCAGTAGCCAAAGCATTCTATATCTCTTTTCTGTTGCAGAGTTAAGTGACCACCAGCAACATGAAATTTATTATACATAATCTGTAAATAATAGCAACTGCCATTTATTGAGAGCTTATTAGGTGCCTGACTTTTGCTTATCATTTTTGGTGTATTCTTCATGTGTTTCACAAAAGTCCTGGGAGGGGGCTACTAAGATTCCTAGGTAGAAGAGGACATAGTTTAGAGAAACCTCACAACTTCTAAGTGGTAGGGCTGAAATTCAAACTCAAGCTCTTAAGGACTTTACTCATTGGCCTCTTCAGTCTAACTTACAAAGTCAATACTTTATCAGCATAATTCCTTTTCACACTGACAGTTCTAGAAGACATGATGAAAATAACTTCAATATGAAAGACATGACTAAGTGACTTCTAGATCTTCTGTAATGTAATCCAGCACATCTCAGATTGACTATTATTTACATTTACAAAAAACATGTTCTCTTCTAAATTAAATATAGACAAGCACTGTCATTCTGACAATTTCCCCCTAGTTTCTCCTGATAAAAGAGAGAAAGCTTCTGAATAAAGGGACTGATAATGTCTGTTCTGAAGTGACATGATCCCTTTGAAACAAAACTCATTTTGCCTATCAGTCTGAGAGGTCTGGATGATGCCTGAGAAGAGAAAGCCAGTCATAACAAGTGACCTTTCTCAGTTTCAAATTTTCTGGTAGCCATAATTATGTGACTGCAAGGAAACAGTTTCTGGGCACCAGAAAGGTTGTAGTGGCTAATACTATTCTTTGAAATATTTAAATATTTAAACTCTTACAAATCAGAAACTGCCTGTTTTGCTCAACAGTTTGTCAGGTTTAGTAAAGATGTTGAATTTTATTATCAAAGATAAAAATCCTGTACCATTAATATTCTGGGTGGGATTAAAATTCCCATCACTGTATTGCTACAGATGGTACAAGATTCACGTCCCCAATTAAGTGACACACTCCATTTATATGCAATGAGGTGTGCAAAAAGTGCTTTTGGCTATATATTAAGAAAAACCCTTAACTGACAATATACTGATTTAATACCCTCTAGCAGAAAATAGACAAAGGAGGTTGTTCTCGTGCTGGAACAGGCAGATTATGGCATCCTAAATTGCACAGCAATAATTTTGTGGTATATAAGGTCTAAAGGCATGGAAGTGTTTCAACATTAGGTCTAAGTGAGGGTAAAAGAAGAGACAACTCTCATGTTTAAGATAGGATATATATGTAGTACTGGTCGTCCAGAAGGCCAATTAATTTCTTCTGAAAAATGACTCTATATTTTTTTAATTTGTCATAGAAGACTCAGAAGGACCCAAGCCAGGATTACTGCATGAGAAGCTAAATGAATTTTAGCAGACATATTATAAACAAGAACTTTAGGTATATCTAATTTCAGAGTGATATTTCTTCATTATACTTTTCTGTGTTTTTGCTATTTTCTACTTTTCTATCCTCTTCTGCACGTATCTGCTAAACATATTTAATAATGTTGTGATCAGAACAGTCTGCTATTAGCCTAATTCAATTGATACCAATATGCAGAAAAATAAAAATTATAGCCCAAGTTGAACTGCACGTAAATGTACACAAAAGGCAAAACAACAACAAACAACAACAACAACAACAACAAAACTCTAGACATTTCAGCAAAGTTTGACATTGAAAGAGAACCAACTCTACCTTGCATTCTGGACAACCATGACTTGACTGCATTGATTCCAAGATCGAGAATGAAGGATACAGCAGGAAAGTAGGAAAGACAGGAAGAAAAGAGTTAGGAACAGAAGTAAGGAAGAAAATGTGAGAATAAAGACTAAAGGAGCTATACCATAATACACAAACAACATGAGGGAGAAAATAATCTTTGAACTAAGGTGAAAATAATGCTTCACAAGTATAATACATTCCAAGGTCTTGGTCACTATAGTAACTAGGAGTAATTTAAAGAAAGGGCTAGGAATTGAATAGGAATGGCATACTAGCATGCTTTTTGGTTAAATCCCATCTAGAAGGCATATTTTGTTTGACAAATTGCATGGGGATAGCTTTAGGTAGGAACCTCACTCTTCATTTCATTCTAGTTCCCACCCTTCTTTCTGTTACCCACTCCGGAATGGACTGCCATATTCATGACATCTGTCTGATCTTTCTGGTTATTCAAGTTTGAAATAGGATTGCAATAGGATTAAAACATATCCTGTAACAAATAAAAGATGACCACGCTCTTATAGTATAAAAAGTGACGCTCTAGGGTATTAAAGAAGATAGAAAATTAAAAGAGTGTTTATTTTCACTCATTAGCAAATGCTGATTAGAGATATATCCTTGGCAGTGATTTCCTTTTATACTGTCATTAAATAACACTAATGGTCAAATGACCCAAATAAAAGGCTGAATGCAGTTATCAGTTTGTATTTATATTCATGCTAAAAAAATAAAGTACTTGAGGAGGAGGGATAAATTAGAAGTTTGAGATGAGCAGTTACAGATTACTACATATGAAACAGATACACAGCAAATTCTACTGTATAGCACAGAAACTATATTCAGTATCTTGAACTGAATCAGTTTGCTGTATACCAGAAACAAATGCAACATTGTAAATCAACTATATTTCAAAAGAGTAGAAACATTGCAGTTATACTACTACATAAAGATATAAACTAACAGAAACTCCCCTTTCTTGTTCTTTAGGGCTAGTTGGAAATGTCTATGAATTAAAACTAGAGTAACAATACCAGCAATTCTAAGTTTCTTAACAAAATGGTTGGGTAGGATGAAATTAAAGGCTGTATACTGAATTAGATATATCACTTGGCAATTTTCAAATTATTTTCTGAGTATTATCTAATCTGATTTTCCTGAGCAACTGAAAATTATGGCTCTCTCTACCGTGGCTCTTTCAATATCAACAAGGAAAGTGAATCTCTAAGAATTGATGATTTGACAGTTGTGACAACTGGCAAGCAGCATTCAAATGCACTGTATAACTCTAATTTAGATCCTGTTCAAACAAACCAACTATAGTTATAGAACATACTTTGTATGATTTTAGTGTTTATAAATTTGTTGAGCTTTGTTTTATGGCCCACAACATAGTTTATGTTGGTTAATGTTCCATGTGCACTTGAAAAGTATATATATATATATACATATATATATATATATACATATACACACACACATATTCTGCTGTTGATGGGCAGAATATTTTATATATATCAACTAGGTCATCAAACTGACTAGGAAAATATTAGGAGGCAATTGGGGGAAATAAGAGATTTAAAAATTAAAAATTATTATGGCTATGTGTGGTATTATAATTATTAAAAAAAATTTTTTTTAGAAATATATACTATTAAGTTACAATAGTTGAGATCTATTTTAAAATAATCTGCATGGAGGGAACGTACAAGGGTAAAAGTGAAACATGATTGGCTAGAAAGTGGTAATTGTTGAAGCTGGTAATGGGTGCAAGATGGATCATTATACTATTCTTTCTATTTATACTTCCAATGACTGAAAATTTCCCAGTAAAAAGTTATATTAAAATGTTGCTCTTCAAATTAAATGAAAACACAGCAAAAATGAAACCAGAGTCTTCAATAACTGTCCTGTAATTTTTTTCAACTATACCTCCAATTGTTGATTACTTCCGGTTCCATCATACTAATTTGGCTAGTATAAATTCTTCATAAAAGGAAATGATCTGTTGGGTCCAAACTACTGGTTTGAAGCCATCCCTGAACTATGATTTATATATAAGACTACAGCAATTTGCATTTATTATGTGAAAATTAAACATCTCTAAAGAGTACTTGCTTTATACAAAGTTTCTATATTACACAAGAGATTTAAAGAGATCTTAACATTTATCTACCAAAGTTGACGTTTCAAATATTATTATTTTTTTATTTTATAATTTTAGAACAGTGATTTGAAAATATGCATGTAAATAATGATGCATCAAGTCATTTAATGAGCATTTAATGTATTGAATAATACACATGTCCTATAAGATAAAAGAGCAACTGATGAGTCCTTGAACATTGGTTTCACAAATACATTTTGAAAGGTAAACTAATTCTTTAAATCTGCCACAAACAATTCCTGAAATGATTTCACAGTCTACTTGATTGGTCATAGCACAAGAAGTTTCTAGAACTGAAATACTAATATGTTTTTATTCAAGCAGCTTTTGTTATGATCATGAATCTCTAAAAATCCATTAAGGCCTAATTATAAATTTTTAATTCCACCTTGCTTACTAATTGGGAATAAAAAAGTATGACGTATTATAGATAAAACTAAGAAAAAGATATTAAGCTCTTTAGAGATCAGAAGACATTATCACTATTTAAAAAAAAAAATCATATGGCAATACTTATGATACTTTGAAGACATCACTTCGTTACTTACCCTCTCCCTGGAAGAAGGTACACTTTAACAAAGGGGTCTGAATAACCATTGTTGTCTCGAGGGACTAGGTTTCTTGCTTGGAGAATATGTATTATGAGATTTCCAAGGTCATAGTTGATTTGAAGCTTAAAGGAACAGCAAATATTCCATGAATATTATTTTGTTTTTTAAAAAGCATATAATACATTACTGTTCAATATTTTGCCAGTATTAAAAAAAATTCTCATAAGAAGCATTAACTGTCACTTTCATTTTATTTGAAACTGAACAGACCAGTTTAATGTTTAATTTAATTGGGAGCTCCCAGGCACACATTAATTACAAGTAAATGTGCTGTTCATTCTTTCCACTGTGAAAGTTCTGGCCTGTCTAAAATTCATTTAGAAGGAAAATAACACAGTGAATGCTAGTTACATTTTTAAACAAAATTTCCACTGTTAGCAAAATCAGAAATGTTAATGTTCATAAATACAATTGCTGGAATTTTGAAAATAAATTAACTAACTGATAAATGTATTAGAAAATCTCTTTTGCATTTCATCAAATAGTTAATAGTGGGTAGAATCATTATTTAAACACAAATGTTAGTACTGAATTGTCAGGATATTTAAGAATGTTCAATTTGATCTCTTTCTATAGTACACTAGCTGATAGACCTGTAGCTTTTCTTTTTGTGCCTGCTTTCTTAACAGAGTGAGGTTAAGATAATAAAATACAACTGTTCTTTAATCTCAGAAACTGAAAAGAGGCATTGTCTCATAGATGTCTAACGGCTGTTGTAAAGTTGTCATTGAATAGTAAAAGACTTACCATTCAAACTAAATTTTAAGAAGCCAGCATGATTCAAAATAATTGAATTAAACAATTTTTCTCCTTCAAAAATGAAAAATTCCTTTGGCATCATTTAGATTAGGACAATTCTGTTTGATGCTGCTTCAAATTATCAAATAACAGAAAGGAAAGTGAAAGTGTTAGTAGCTCAGTCGTATCCGACTGTGTGACCCCATGGACTGTGCAGACCCTATGGACTGTCGTCCGCCAGGCTCCTCTGTCCCTGGGATTTCCCAGGAAAGAATACTGGAGAGGGTAGCCATTCCCTTCTCCAGGGATCTAGCGGACCCAGGGCTCGAGCCCAGGCCTCCTGCATTGCAGGTCGATTCTTTTTGCCTGAGCCACCAAGGGAGCCCTAACAGAAAGGAAGAAATCTATACTTTGAAAAGGAAAAACCATAAATAAAAAATGAATGTACTTTTTATAATCATGCAAAACAGATATGCTATATTTATGTTGAAAATGGAATAACTTAGATGAGTCAGCCTTCATTTAAAATTTAATATTAAAACGATTTACTGATTTCAGCATAATTTTGATCTGGTTATGTTTTGTGGCAGAAAAGGAATCTTTGTTCACTTTTCTCAGTACAGAAAGCTCCAGAGTCTCACTGACCACTATGAAAGCAATATGAAACATGAAAGAAAGAGCCATGAAGGAACAGGAGAAATAAGAAGTCTAAGACTGCAGTAACTGTGTTTTAATGGAGTACTAAAATACAGGAATTATTCTGCAATTAATTTCACTGAGGTTTAGAACAGCTTCCAAATCTTTAAGGAGAAAATTTCCCCCATTTTTTTCCTTTCTCTGCTAGTCTAAAAGTCTACTTTTAACTGGTGAGGCAGCAAAATCATTTCTTTTCGAAATAGAAATTTGTAGGATACCCTAAGAGAGTGCTTTTCAAAGTGTACTCCGTAAATTTGGTGCCTTAGAGAACACTTAGGGTTGCTCAGATGTTACATGTGAGAGAAAGTGAGAAGCCCCCAGTAACCCTTAACCAGACCTATTACATTCTGGCAATTCACTGTTTGGGTGTTTACACAAGGTTTCATCTGGAATGAGGCTTTGCTAAAAAGACAGAAGATAAAATATAAAAAAAATTAAATCACTGTCATAAGAAAGTATCTCCTCTCGCCACTCCCCCTTAAAAAAAAAGAAAAAGGAAAGCAAAGCAAAGCAAATATCCTGGGAGTTGAAAATATTAGAGCAAACCTCTACTATAAAATTAAATATTACCATTGAAGTGAAAATAAAATAAGAACAAAGCAAAGGAATTTACTCACAAAACAGAAACAGACTCACAGACAGACAATGAACTTATAGTTGTTGGGGGGGGGCGGGGGGGGGGAGGATGAAGGCGAAGGGGTAGTTAGGGAATCTGTGATGGACATGTACACACTGCTATATTTAAAATGGGTAACCAACCACGACACACTTGTACAACACATGGAACTCTGCCCAATGTCATGTGGCAGCCTGGATGGGAGGGGAGTTAGGGGGAGAATGGATATATATGCATGTATGTATGCATATATATATATGGCTGAGTGCCTTTGCTCTTCACCTGAAACTATCACAATATTGTTTGTTAATCAGCCACACCCCAATTCAAAATAAAAAGGTTTTAGAAAATAAGCCTTTCAGTAAAAAACAAATTATAAGAAGCCAAAAGAAACACAGCACATGTTGGCCCTTGAGCAAGAAGTGAAAAAAATGAGACAAAGAAAGACGTATTATGAATCAGAATATCTAGCATTTTCTTTGCTGCATGTGAAATGTAAAGTGATCACCTTTAGCTTTCTAGAAGTAAGAAATAGCAGTGAGACAGCAAGATTGAGAACACATTGGTGATTTCAGTTCCATCCTGCCAGGTCCTTCTTATTAAGGTGCCCATGTTCTGTGCTTTTTCTCCATTTCCACTCTCACTCTCCACTCTGCTTCAATCAGAGTATGCCCAGATGACAACTGGTTTCTTTGTCTTTGTGTCTTCCTCTCTATAATACTTCTTAGAGGCTGTGGCTCTATGAATTTCTATGACATATTTGTTTCAGTTAGCCTCACCCTCACTCTAAAATATTTCCTGATCACTCTATTATGTTGTGGCTAACATCCTTTGGCTTCTGTTCAAGATTCTTTTAATTTAGTCTTAACTTATCTCTACAGGAACATTTTCCTGCAGCAGAACAGATCTGCCTTCATTACCCTCTGGCAGCAGAATTGTTCCTTGTACCATTTCTTCTTCCAGGAAAACACTTCTTCTTTTTCTATGCTTATCCTCAAATTACTTCAAATCTCTGTTACTCTTTGTGAAAATATACTGTAGTGCAACTAAGACTCACTGTTCTTTCCCCTTATCAAAAATGTACTATCTCCAAATAGCTATTATTTTCTATTTTGTTAATTCTTTTCACATGACATTTCTTATCTACCTTAAATTACTTTTTGGTATCATCTAATGTATCATTTTTCTAACTTTTCTGATCTGCCCATTTATGATGCAATATATAAACACAGAAACATGCACACAGAACTAAAAAAAAATAATGATTTAAACTATTTTCTTCTATCTTCCTGGTCAAGATCGTCTCTATTAATTTGGTAAATTACAGATTGGTTATAACTTCCAGTATGAAAAACACTGCTCTAGAAGAACTGTTCAGCAATTATTTAGCAATTGTTGACCAGAGGAAGAAAAGAGGACAGCATTAGACTCATGAAACTCTCAATGATAACTTCAAATTTCCAGGAGAATCTGTCATGTTTGAAACACATTCAACAACTATAAAGTAAATGTGACTTAATACATTGATACCGTTAAGGTATTAGGTAGATTTCAAAGTACAGAATTCCAGAGGTATAATTAGATTTAATAAAACATATATTGTATTAAAATACTTATACCTATATAAGTCATATAACAGGTAAGGTTCTAATAGTGCTTACAATCTCAATAGACCAACGGGAAAAAGAGCCACAGAAGATGGTGTAATAATGATCTTTCAGAAGAATTCATACCTGAATTTCCCCCGTAATTGGATGAGAGACAACCTTTGCTACATCGGGCGGCTGCAATATTAAGACATATTAGATTAATGGATAAACCTTTCATAAACCATTTAAACTTCCCTCTGAGTTAATTTCTGTTTGGTCAGAGCACACTGCCTGGAAAGTGCATTTTGTCCATTTGGTTGCTTTAGATTATGGTGTCTCCTTACACTTCTCAATACATGTTTAATTTTATAGATACATAAATCTCTTTTTCATTGTGTGAAACCTGTTTTGAAGCTATAATTTTATACCTGAAGTAATGTACATTCAATTACTTAAGAAATGAAACACTTTTGGTTGAAAGTATTCAATTTAAATATTAATGGATTTTAGATGTCTGTAAGAAAATGAAAAAGATATTGTTTTTACTTGGCTGCCTAGGAGGCCAAAGTTATAAAAGTCCACCTTATATTCCTTTGCTGGGTTCTCAGTCCAGTCCTACTCTCTTCTAGAGTGGGACACCCAGGTAACCAATTCTTAGCATTTCATACCTCTTTAATTAAAAGTCCATAACATTCTATCTAAGTTCACATTTCCTTAATAATTTTCTTATGTCAGGAAAGCCTTAAAAACCATTCAGAATGTGATCTGATAAAGTGATTCATTCTGCTGATTAAATGACTGATTACTGATCTGTTACATTTCAGTAGAATGTACAAATTTGTACCAAAGAAGGAATGATGTCCCTGACTCTAGATCTGTAACAGAATTTCAGGTAATGTGGCATCACTGTAGGGAGACATTTACTAAGATGGAGGCAAGCTTACTGCTGACAAAAAAGGCCCTGTCTCCCTATATACACTTCATATTGGCCTTATATTAAGAATTAACTGGAAAAGGAAAATCATAATATTTAGGTGTGTTTCTGCTACTTTTTTTTAAATTAATTTATGCTAGAAATGAGAGCAATCAAAGAAGACAGCTATCTTCCAGGTCTTGTTCTGTGCAATATTTAAAATAATGTGTAATCATTGGTAAAGTGATAGAGAAGGGGTTAAATTTTCTAAGCCATATATCCTTTATTAGTAAAGTTCGTTTACATGAATGGCCATTTAGTAACACTGAAACTGTGCTCTGGTTGCAAAGGATAAACTGCTAGTTATTGAACAATTATGTTTACTTAATTCTTTTACTGTTTAAGTTTTAAGGAAAGCAAAGGAGTCAAGAAAAATAAGGACTACACAATTTCCTGAAACTCTATCTCAATTAAAGATGGGAAGGTTCCTAAAACTAGATATCCATGAATCTGAATGAGCAAGGCTGAGGGATAACGAGAGATAAAAAGTCAAAAATAATATTAAAAAATCCCAAATAATGATTATGTATTTTGTTTTGATTTCATTTTGATGGTTGTAACTCATTTGAAATATGATCATGCAAACATAACTAGATTCAATGCAGAGAATAAACTTATGGACAAATTTTAAATGTTCTGGGGTGGGGCAATGAACTCATAAAGGCACACAAGGATACAACAATATCTGTGTACAGTGGGCAACCTACCAGCTCCAGGTAGCTATGGTTTAAGATTAGAGACAAGTATTTCTTTTCAGTGATGTCATGCCTTTGTGAAGCTGGTTTTTGATGACTGTAGTGATAAAAAAAACGTATTAAAAGAAATTAGTGTGATCAGTGTGGAAGAGGAAATGAGAGTGTCAGTGTCCAAACCAATTCTACTATCTGAATAGCTGTGCAGTGCCTGTCAGGCACACATATCCCACTGATAAATAATTTTAGTGTATAAGTATGAAATAGATACATTATTTTATTTCATTTTATGTATTATTTTTCCAATGGTTACTAAGATGTTAGGACATAAATACTAGTTAAACTGTTGGGACCTAACTACATAATAAATGTTAATTATTTTAGGTATTTCTTTTGGTATAAGGGCAGTATGAAAAAAATCACTGACTGTTGTGTGCTGTGATAGAAAAGTCTGGGAGAGCAAGGACCTATTTCATTAGAACACTTAAAATTAGTAAGCATTTTAGTTGACATTTATTTATACTATGACTTGGGAGAAATTATTCAGATATTAAAGATAATATGAAGAAAATCTGATTTAGATTTCAGAAATAAAACAGACTGAGGCAGTAAAATAAAAATTTTGGAGGCAAAAGTTCATATTGAATTAGTAAACAAAATAATTTAAAATGGTCATATGTATATATATATATAACATAATTTGAACCTACATCTAAATAATTTAGATTCACCTTTTACTTATATTTAACTCAGAAGCAATCACTTAAACTGGACCATTATTAATAGATTAATAATTAATTATGAAATCACTCAAAACATTTAATAGATGGTGTTCTAAATATATATAATTAATGTATAATTATGCTATGGTTTAAATATTTTTGTTTTAATGTACTTCATAATATTAATGTTTTATAATTTAATATATGGTTAGCCTCATAACTAATAAAAACAAAAGGATGCTAAAATTATAATTTTCTAAATTAACTGAAGAACATATGCTATATTTGAACATATTACCTGACTCAGAAACATGTAAGCTTCAGACCATTGCTCAGTATTTCTCTAATCTCTCAATGTCAATATTTTAACATTGTAGGAGTTGTAGAACAAATAAAAATAAGTATTGCCTTTTATGCATACTATAAATATCATTGTTTATTTATATTAAGAAGCTTGGTACCAGCTAAAAGTTGCTGACAAACCCTCCAAAAGATGAATAGTCCCTCAGTAATAGTCTCTTTCTTCAAGAGTGTTAACATCTATTCACTATATATTTCTATAAGTATATATAAAATCTCACTAATAACCAGATTTGATTATTGTTATTACTACTAATAAGAATTAAAAAGCAATCTACATACCATCACTGTCAAGTAGACTATAATGTGAGCCACATAGCTTAATTCAAATACTCTTATTAGTCACCTTAAAAATGTAAAAGTAAATGGTAAAATTAATTTTTTAAAAATATATTTTGTTTATTTGGCTGCACCAGATCTTAGCTGCACCCCACCGGTAGCATGCGGATGTTTTAGTTGGGTATGTTGGATCTTTAGTTGTGGCATGTGGTGTCTAGTTCCCTGACAAGGGGTCAAATCTGGGCCCCCTGCATTGGGAGCATGAAGCTTTAGCCACTGGACCATCAAAGTCTTGTGCAATTAATTTCTGTTGACATATTTTATTTGATGCAATTTATTAAAAATAACATCATTTCATCATGAAATCAATATAAAAAATGTAATGAGCTATTTTAGATGTTTTTTTTTCTACTAAGTCTTTAAAATCTGTTGTATAATTCACATATACAGCATATCTCAATTAGGACTAGCACAGTTGAAGTGTTCAATTGCCACAGGTGACTAGCAGCCAGTGTCATGGACAGTGAAGCTCTATAGCTGTTTCAGCAAAACCTCTGTAAAACTACACAGGTCACATTCTTGGCGTAGAAAAGAATTACCACATATCATAAAATGTGTCAGTATCATTTCCTTGATGTTTGTCCTATGATACCTGTGTGCATCTTGCAATCACTGCCAAAAAAGCTCACATAACAAAAAAACTATATTTTTTACTCCCATAATATTATAAAGACTCACAGGTGCCACTGATGTTTTAATTTAATTTTAATTTATTTTGTTATGGTCTATGCAAGCTACTCTACTACGTGCTTAGGGAGCTATAAAGAAAATAAGAAATGGCTTTTGATTTTTAATGAGTGTGCAGCCCACTTAGGAGGATAAAATAAGCAAACAAGTAACCACAATCAAGATACAAATTGTTTTAATAGATACATAAAGCATCTGGCACTTTGGTGGGAGGGAAGGAGGAGAGAAGGGTAACTCTAACTTTAAGGAAGGATTCGAATACGGAAAGGCTTAGCAAAGGAAGGGTTTATGTTATTTTTGTTTTTCATTGGCTCTTCATTTTCTGCAGATTGTAGAGTAAAAGCAAGGCATGGCATATAATGTCTTTCAATTTACAATTATCTAGGCTTCTCCTCTATTTATTATCCCTATATCTTTTGTATGCCATGACTTAAGCATACAATTTTCTGTTTCTCATTTTTTTTTTTTTTTTGTGATGCATTCTCTCCTTTAATGTTGGTTCCTTTTTCCCCTTTACCAAACTGGTTCATTAGCCAAATGCCAGCTTTCCTAACCCCACTGTCCTAGTGCCCTCTGCGGTTTTTAATGACCACCAACATTATAGCTTTACTGAATTTGTTTATATATCATTACTCACCTATACTTAGATCAGCACTTCTTAAACTTCAAGGGGTATCACACTCACTTGGAGAACTTATTAAAACTCAGGTTGCTTGGTCTTATCCCTGGAGCTTCTGATTCAGAAGGCGTAAGGGTACGATCAAGAATTTGCATTTTTAATAAGCACCTGCCTGATGCTGGTGCTACTGGACTGAGCAGGCTTTAAGAACCACTGGTCTACATAGTATAGAGGGATGGATTTTATCCATCTTTGTATCTTGCATACAAATTATGACTCATGGTACTGAAGGTGGCATCTAGAAATATCTTTGGAAAGTAGAATGAGTTGAGCCTCTTTTTTTGGGGGGGTGAGGTGGGGGGATGGGAGTAAAATGAGTTTGACAACCATAATAAATAGAGTACTTAGTAGCGAGGCTACTGTAAACATCTGACAACATTAAGCTTACTGTGATAATCTTTCAAGGAACATCTCCCTTACCCAGGTAGAGGCAGGGAAGCTAACATTCCAGGTAGCAGGGATGCATTTTAAACAGGATAGGGACCTAATCCTATCACTGTCACAGATCCATAGTTGGAGGGTAGATTAAGAGGAAGGAAGAGAAACTGGTGAGTGGAGTGACTAGTAGTAAGTGCAATACTGCAGGTAAAAAAGAATAATGCTTTACTAAACGAAATTGGCAAGTTCAGAAAAGATGGAAAATTATTAGAGAATTATCAAAAAACTAGAGTTAACAGCACTAGGATTCAATGAGTAAAAGAAAAGATGAGACAATGGTGCTTTTATACTTTGACTTAATTTTCTGCAAGGATGGTGATGTCAAATGCTGAAATAAGAAAAACATCTGGATGACAGACTTATAGAATTTATTGTGTTTGGTATGAAAACTTTGTTAGCAGAGCTTGTCATGTCTTTAGGTCATCTGTGTGGAGATACTGAGAAATCTGAAATGGTATCAGCCTGTGACTTTGGAGACAGGGCACCTCCATGAGGTAATTCATCAAAATTAATACATAATTGCATGTGGTAGAATACAGTTGTGTTACAATTTATTTTGAAATTGAGTCTATCTTTGAACTTATTCCTCATGAAACCATAAAAAACTTTATTTTCTGAAGTCCAGACAACTTATCCAACCATATCCTTCCTATATATATCTCACCACATAAAGAAAAACCTTTATGTTTAAACAAACAAACAAACAAACCCTTTTAAATGTATTTATCAATCATGAAGAGTTTTTCTATTAATAATCAATCTATGGGGGGAAAATGACAAATTGTCTATATCATCACCTGATTCTATTAAGTTAAAATTAATTTATGTTTTCTTTTAATTCCCCAGTAACTCTAAAATAATACTGTTAGAAACATTTATTCTAATTGAAGAGCTGCATGAAGAGAAAATTTATTAGTATGGAATTAGGGATACATTTCAAAATAGCAATATTGTATTACTGGCTTTCTTGTTTCTTGTTGTCCTAAATTATCCTCATTTCATGGTCTTTTTTACTATTTATTTAAATTACAAAATATAGTGTAATGTATATCTTGTGTTTCTAAAAAGATACAATGACTATATTTGATACACAAAAAGGTTCAGATTTCTATAACAACAACAAAGAAAAAGAACAGGAAGCATCAGATACATTTTTTTCAAGTCCCTCATAATAACTGCCACAATATTTTAAGAAAGAAACACATCATTTTGATACATCTTGTTCAGTTTTATACTGAGATATGGAAACCTTTTTTGTTTGTTTCAGCAGATCAATAGGAAAGGAGAAATTACAGGAGAAACACCTTTAGGAGATGACACTGTATTTCCCGTCTCCTAATTTAAATAAGGAGCTAGAAAGTAAGCAATCTCGAGGTGGCCTCGGCGCGTCTCACCTTGCTGCTACTGTGCTTCTTTTTGCTCACTGAGGGTGACCCTGGCTGCCCAGGACTGGGAACGGAACTGGACCCTGCCGACGTAGGACCTGAATGAACGTGAGACCCCTTTTCAACAACAGATGACAGAACCAGTGGCGACTGCTGTAGTGAGACCTTCTGGAGTTCTGCTGCCAACTGCTTGGGATCAACCCCTGGGGACTTCGCTTTATCCACTGCAACAAAACCAAATGGCTTCACATATTCTCAGTTTCATAGTACTTAAGACCATGGAGCTTATCTGAGTTCTAGATGACAAAGTCAAAATGTTACATAAAACAATTTAAATTAAAAAGAAAATACATGCAAGTGTACTTTATAAATCTATTTCTAAGGAAGTCTAGAAGGTTCAGAGAAAAATTAAAGACTACTGAATTAGAGAGGAAATTTGAGGTTCCTATTATATCATCAGAAAAATGCTTGTAAATGTTTTATACAGAGAACTGAATGCATGACAAAATATTTTCTTCACTGGAATTTAATTTCTATGATTGGTTGTTTTTATTCCCTGAAATCTTATATATCTATTTTTCTAAGGGGAAATTTCAAAGAATATATTTACATTTACAGTTGTATGAAAATTTCTACAGGTTTTGATCTTCTCTGTTTAGTGCCCTAACCCAGACTCTTAGAGATATTGGCTATAGCATAGGAAGTGCTTGGTAAATATTTATTGAACATGGAACAACAATATATTTAATCTTATAAATGAGCTAAATTTATAGACTATAACTTCTATCTAAGAAATAGTTAAATCTACTTCACTGTGTACTTATATATTATATCGATTTTTGTTTATTATAAAAGGCAATCAAGAGTTTTAGTAGTGTTCCAGAACTCAGCTATGCTAAAAAGAACCATCCAAAAATTATATAGGACCCAAAATAAATGACTCCATGGATTACTTTCATGTGATGAATTTAATTTTAAAGAATTCAAAATGTGAATTCATGCAGCAAGAATTTCATGTGAATTTCTTTAATGGCTCTAACATGTATATGTGTGCTTCCCTAGAATACTAAAATGAAACTACAATGCTTCTGATTTTCTTACTATTACATAAATATATAAACATCCATAAATCTATGCATTTATTTTTGCCTATATCTGTGTTTGTGTCTACATCTTCATCTATAGCTCCATCTGCCTCTACAACCGCTTCTCCATCTCCATCTTCACCACACTTGGAAGCAGACTGCTTTCACCTACCAGCTTTTGGTGGTTCATGGAGCTCTAGGTGCTGGGGATTTTCAGAATCTGACAGCATATTGAGGTCCCTAAAAATTAAAACAAAAAAAAATTAAGAAAGCAATTGAGGAAGTCTGAAACAAAAGGCCCCTTTTCCCAACTACGCTGAGTATTTTTTTTCAGTAGGTAAATGAGAAGTGGTTAATGATATAAAGCAATTTCAAAGCATGCTCACCCTTCTAACCAAATATATATTTGCAATGCTGTTAAAAGTCAGCTGATAAAAATGATTATTTAAGGTGAAATCTTTATGGATTAAATATAAGTTCATTTTGAAATACTGTACAAATCTATGAAATCTAAATGGGTTTAGGCTTTCATTTATATAATGCATGTTTCAAGAAAATCATGAAAGGGGACATAATCAGAAACAAAATTAGCTGAATTCTTTCTGTGCATTAGACTTTGATTCTGAACACAAGACATCTATAAACTTGCATTCACTTTATTTTCTAATTACAAGATATCTTGCTAACTGGCAAAGGTTCCACCTTAACAATTTTAAATTAAAAGAGCCATGAATAGCCAAAAAAATGGAAACAAAAAGATGGGGAAAAACTCACAGTCTTACACATATTTCTGCTTCCCCATTTTGCTGACTAATGATACTCTGCACTTCTTCATATGTTTTAGAAGTTAAAGGAATTCCATTCCACTCCAATACTTGCATGCCTAAAAAGAAAAATTCAAGTATAAAATTAAAAAAAAAGGTATGCTATGTCTCATCTGGGTCCAAAGGGCACAAAAGACATTGCTATGCATTTAAAAACCACTTCAGCAGCCATTCAACTGAGCACACCATTTCAGAGAACATCAGTTCAGAGTTCTCTGGAACATAAATAGCAAAACCATATGTAGTCTGATTTCATCAACTTACCTGAACATATAACATGTATCTCATACAACATGCAAAATGTTGCTCTTGAAAAACTATTAAATATTATCAAACCCATGCATTTTATTCACACTGTTATGAAGAAAACATTCTTGACTACAATTAAACCAATTTTTTTATGGGGAAGAAATAATTGTAAATACCAATATATTGTTTTCTATGTGCAGCAAGCAACTAGAAAAGTGTACACTCCCATTATATTATGGCATGGGAGTGGTAGAAAAAATCGTTATTATTTTGTTGTGAAGCTTCCTTTAAGAAATTGTTATAGCCTCAACTCTGCTCAGATAAAAAAGGTTTCCATTAAGTGTCTTTTACTTCACTACATGCAAGACAGCCCTAAGTAGAAGAAACAGATGTTATGTAGAGGGCAGCATCATGGGTGTGTGTATGCTCTATGCTAAGAAGGGCCCCATACTCTGTTTAATCTTTGCTGCTGCCATTTTGAAAGTCTTAACACTCTGAACAAAGAACCCTACATTTTCATTTTGCTCTGGGTCCCGTAAATTATGTTGCTGGACTGGTTACAGAGCATTTTGTGTTTCCCATTTTCTAGAAAGATAATTTTCACAGAAAAAAGTAGCGACGTAATTAGTATTTCAATATTTTACATTTAGGTTTTTTGGTCCCTTTTATATGAGCTGTCAAATAATTTAGGGTGAGTATCTGGCATAAATCACATGGTCATATTACATAGCTATGTGAGCTAGATATAAATTCGATGAAACCACCCAAGTTATAGTGCCAGATATTTGTGAACGCTACCAGCTTTACCTGAGGAAAAATACCTGCCATGGCTAGAACATCATTTAAAAAGAAATACTTGTTGAACAATTAGGTTTTCAATGAGCTTCATAGATGCCAATGTGAAAGTCCCCATTGTTCACTATTGGCTTCCATGGGAAATTCTAAACATGGCATGATTGAGTATTTAAAATTTTAATGATTTTGATATACATTGATAACAAGTAAGGGAAGTTCTTTTACCATTGAGAAATGGTAAAAGAAGTCCATAAAAATGCCTACAATAACACAAACAAGAGTGTTTTCTATAACTTACTCCAAGGAAACTTTATCTTCAGATGGGCCTTAGGTTATTTCAACAATCCCAGGCTGTTGTACACATAAAATGAGAAAAATTACATAAAAGAGTGTGATAATACCTCTAAAGAAAAATTCAGCATTGAAAGAGGTAAAGCACACTGACAAACACTCCTTTTAGTCACAAGGAAGAGTACATTTATAACCAGATGATTCTGAACTGAAACAAATTAATGGTGTCATAATCCAGAAATTGCATTGCCACTTTTCTGCAGGAACACATTCTATTAAAGGAAATAGCTGCACAACCTTCTTGCTTCCTGTTTTGAATTTACCTGTTAGTTTTTCACATTTTAAAGGGGAAAATTTATTCAATGTAATTATTCAGTGAAATGAAAAATGCTTCTAGTTGTAAAAAAGAAAATCTATTTAGATTCATTAATAAAACTGATGAAAAAATACAGAGATAACTAGCCTAGATATATACCCGAGGTCATGAACTACATGATTTTCTGTCTCAAGATATACCAGTTGAACCTTCTTTCCCCCAATAGTTTCCCACTGGCACCAGTGCAGTACTGCAGTTCAAAAGATTTTGCCAATTCTTTTATTTTTGGTTTCATGGTGAGTATGAAATCTATAGGGAATGTGACTACTTGAATGTAGTTACTTAATAACAACTTACCTTTCCTCTGTTTCTCCAACTTCCTACAAATACTACAAGAATCACAGTAAAATAAATGAGTATACAAATCACTCCTTTTAAATTCATAAGATGATTTTAGTAGTTGTAAGAATTAAGTATAGTTAAGTATGTGTCTTCAAATACATAATAGTTTTGAAAATTATTTTTTTTGGCTGTGCAACCCAGCATGCAGGATCCTAGTTCTCTGACCAGGGATCGAACCTGCATCTCCTACAATGGAAGTGTGAAGTCTTAACTGCTGGACACCTGAAAAGCCTCTTGAAAATACTTTAATTGTAAGGTCCTAGAAACTATTTTAAAATGCATGCAAAAATTATTTGATCATACTACACAGAAGTTCACTAAAATAATATTTTATCACAATTGATTTAAATGTTGGCATACTCAATGTTAAGGAAACTTTTTACTCTGACTTTAGTTTAGAAATAATTCCTAGAAGATAGTGAACACAAGAATGGTTTTATCCACTGTTTAGCATTGTGAGCAAACACATTTTCTTTAAATTACATCGACATGTATGCAAACTAGTTATTCAAGTTTGAGATTGTACAGATGGTACTTCAATTATATCCACTGAAAGTGCCTATTCTAATAACTTCTAATAGGAATGCTAGGATAATCTGATATTTGATTTGTATGAGTAATGTGAAAATTAACTTCTTAAAATCTTACACTTTGGTAATTAAAACCCCCAAAATATAATAAGAAATTTTTGAGTTAAAAAAATCAGTCACCATAAAACACTCAATATTTATCACTATTTCTATCTGCTATTTATATCAATATTTATCAGTACTTCAAAAACATATTCTGGATTAAAATTATTATATTACCTATCAAAATTTGATAGATTAAGGTATATAAAAATGTATATCACACAAAAGCTCATGATTTTTATTTATCTATTCCACAAATATTTAAGTGGCAGGTACTACACAATTTATCACCTTTGTATCTACTGTTTTATGCTGTTATAAAAATTAATAAAAATGATACTCTAGTAGAAAAAAAACAGAAATATCTTGGCAATTAGCAAGATGAAGATGAGTCACAGAGAAGGAAATTCTAAAGTATTTTAAGTACATAAAGAAAGACTCATGAGAGATTAGAAAGTATAAATGAAAGCAATAGTGATGTATTGCTTAACTCTCACTATACTGAAAAATGTTTGAAAGCCAGAGAATACAGCGTGTTGACCAGGATATGGGATTAGGGGATCATGACATAGTATTGGTTGTTTAGCTTTATCACCACTGTATGAATGTGAGAATACTATGACTATTTCTGGATGAAAAATACAACTGCTTGTTTACAATTTACAAGCATGTAATTATTTTATTGGGAATGCAGATAAATGCAACCACTCTATGGTATAATGTGGCAGAATGTTGTTAAATAAAGCACATGTACACCCCAGGACCCAAAAAACTTCTTGAGTCTCTATTTATGGGGAGGTGGTAGCATCAGGAAAAATGGACAAAGAGAATGCACTAAATATTTACAATGGAAACACTTAGCAGTCTTAAGAAAGAAATCATACCAGTTGTCCCAAAAGATGGACCCATCTTAAAAGCATCTGACAAGTAAAAACATGTGAGAAACAGGACCTGATCTAAGGGCAATGACATTTACATTCATTAAAATGATATCCCACACAAACTAACACTATACGTTATACAAATAAAAAGCAGACATTACATAAATTATAATGGTTGCTCATGGAGGTAAGAACAGATAGGTAAAGAAAATGAGATTAAACAAAAGATTTAATAAATGAATAAACAAACAAACACCCCCACTACACACAAACATGGTCGGTGGGGACCTAATGAGAACCAGTGGGGTTGGGGTTGATGTGCTATGAAATAAGAATTCGATATAGCTGAGTAAAACAAAAAAATAGAAAAAACCCCCAAGCTTCATTAATTCAAAATTTGTAGATATTATTCCCCTTTTCCACTGATATTATTAACTATGACTCTAGATCAGTTTCCTAAATTTGGACATCTGTGCTCATGAATTCTCGATAAACTAGTGGCAGCAGGAGAAACTCAGCTGAACTGGTTATTTGTCTTGGCTTTCTAAATAGCAAAGAAACCACGCAAGTGAGTTTCAGGAGTCCAGTAAGTTATCCCCATCAGTTACACTAGTTACTTAAGCATTTTCAAGTTAGGCCTTGTTAATATAAGTGAAATGCATAGATAGATGTATTTTATTACTTTCAAAACTACAGTTAACATTTTTATCCTATTTATATATTAACATTGGCTAAAGTCCATTGAGCTGCAAAAGAGTTGGACACGACTTACGACAAAACATATGTTAACATAAAGAATGAAAGAAAGGTGGAAAAAGGGAAAAAAGAGGAAAGGGAAGAAAGAATGAAGGGAGGTAAACATAAAAAAAAAAAAATTGAATATAGTTTCCTGAATATACAGGCCAAAGGAGATGCCCTAATCTATGACAAGATGTTCAATACTGTACACTTGAACACAAAAAATCAGCAAAGTATGGCTGTCATACGAAAGTTCTCAAATGAACTTAACTTATATGTTACAAAATTGTCACATTTTGAATGTGAAAAGTTATTTAAGAAATATCAAAGACTAGTGTTATTTTACTCACATTATTTTTTTTTCCTATTTCTGAGTCTACTGAAAGTATTCTGAATTAATGACTTCTACACTTATATGTGTAAAACAGATTTAGCTCCATTTATACAACATTTTTAAAGAAAACAGATTATCACCTCCTTTGCAGTATTACTGGTCAATTTATTATTGACTAGGGTCACTGAAAGAGGATTGCATGAATAAAATGTCTTGTAAAAACATGTCACAACTATTTCATAGACTCATTATAAAGCAAGCAAGATCCTGTTAGATATAGTAGTTTTAGTTTTTTGTACAAAAGAGAAGTAAAACACGAAGTGACGACTTTTCTAACACCACATATTTAGTTAATGGTAATGCAGAAATAGGAACTCTGTTTAAATCTCTCTCAGGCCAATGCTAGTATCAGCAAATAAGA